CAAATTAAGTTGTCTAACTTAAGAACCAACATTCTGCCTCTTAGGATTTATTTCAAAGAAGCTTTAACAGAGCAGTACAATTTTTGGTGGTGTGATCCTGGAGGCAACCTCAGTGTTCGACACTAGGAGATTGGATATAGGTAAAGCGTGGATTCATATCATGCTTGTAGTGTTGAGCAACAGAAACAACAAAATACATGTGCAACAACATAAATGTCCAACACAAATGGACCTTTTAAAAGGTTATGAAGAAGTAAGAAGCATCTTATATGTACAGGAAATATCACTTTATAAGTTAGAAATGTACATATGAAACAATAATAGTCTTAGCCAGGCAAGATGGCATGTACCTGTAATACCTGCATGGTACTTGGAAGGCTGAAGCCAAAGGATTGATCGCTTGAGCCCAGGAGTTCAAGTCTGCAGTGATCTATGACAGCACCACTGCACTGCTGCCTGAATGACAGGGTAAGACTCTGTCTCTTAAAGGAAAATAAGGCCCAGGTGCAGTGGCTCATGCCTGTAATCTTAGTACTTGGGGAAGCTGAAGCAAGAGGATTATTTGAGGCCATGAGTTTGATACCAGCCTGAGCAAGAGTGACCTCATCTCTACAGAATAATAGAAAAATAAGATGGGTGTGGTGGCACAAGCCTATGTAGTCCCAGCTACTTAGGAGGCTGAGGCAGGAGAATTTCTTGAGCACAGGAGTCTGAGGTTGCAGAGAGCTATGATGATGGCATTGCATTCTAGTCCAGGTGACAGAGTAAGACTTTGTCTCAAAAAAAAAAAAAAAAAAGGAAAAGGAAAAGGAAATAAAAAGCACTGACATTCTTCAAGAACCTACAAAAAATGCAGCACACCAAGTACACTGGAAAGGTTGCCTATTGTGGGAGGAAGGAATGGTAGTGAGATATGGAGATAAAATAACAATAACAAAATACATATATTTTTGAGACAGTCTCACTCTGTCACCTCCACTAGGGTGTAGTGGTATCATCATAGCTCCCTGCAACCTCAAACTCCTGGGCTCAAGTGATTCTTCCGCCTCAGCCTCCTGAGTAGCTAAGACCTACCACACCTTGCTGATTTTTTTTGGGGGGGGGAGGACACAGAGTCTAATTCTGTCACCCTGGCAGCAGAGCAAGACTCTGTCATTCATGAATGAATGAATGAACCTGGTTAAGTATGGTAGGTATATCCATAGGATAGAGTACAATGCAACCATTAAAACAGTGTTTGAAGAGTAACTTGTGATAAAGGAATATGCTTAACCGTGTAACTTAGAATGAAAACATAATATGGATATGTACATAGTATGATCTCAATTATGTAAAAGTATATGCATAGAAAAACCTCAGAAGAAAAACATCAGAATGTTAGTATTATTTCTAGTAGGTGGGATTATTTGTGTTTTTAATTCTTTATATATTCTGTATTTTCTGTATCGAGTTTTTTGCTTGTTTGTTTGAAACAGAGTCTTGCTCTGTTGTACTGGCTTGAGTGCAGTAGTATGATCATTGCTCACTGCAACTTCCCACTTGTGGGCTCAAGCCATCCTCCCACCTGAGCCTCCTGAGTAGCTAGGACTACAGGTGTGGGCCACCACACCTGGCTAATGTTTTTTTTTTTTTGTAAATTTGTTTTGGAGAGATGGGTTATTGCTGTTGCCCAGGCTGGTCTTGAACTCCTGGCATCAAGCGATCCTCCAGCCTTGGCCTCCCAAAGTACTAAGATTATAGGCAGGAGCCACTGCACCTGGTCAAATTTTTATCATTTTTCTATAAGAATCTGAACAGTAGAGAGTTTTTAAAACGTGGGCCTCCAAAGGGAATAAAAGAAAGAATGCAATATTGGACTGCTTGGGTGTGGGAAATAGTGTTGGGGAGCCATCCATGAAGTTCTTTTTAGGTTCACATTACCTGGAGGAAGAGGTAAACTGAGAGGCCCATCAGCAGTGAGCAAAGTGAGTGTCAGTCCAACTCCTGTCTCCTCTTTATCCCTTGTCCAGCTCCTGGAACAAGCCTTGGTGATTGAGGAACAGCTGCGCCGGGCAGCTTACCTGAACATGTCAGAGGACCCCTCTCACCCTTCCATGGCCCTGAACACTCGCTTTGCTGAGGTGGAGTGTTTGGCGGAAAGTCATCAGCACCTGTCCAAGGAATCAATGGCAGGAAACAAGCCAGCCAATGCAGTCTTGCACAAAGGTAGCCAGTGGCTCCCCTGCCTCCTGCTGATTGATTCATCCTCCTACCTCCTCTAACGGAAACCTTTTGTCTCCAAACCTTTCTCAGAGCCCTTTCATCTGGGAGCTTAAGGGTGTGCTAGGAATTTTTGTCATCCTCCTAGGGAAGTTAATATCAGTAAATAAATAGACAGTAGTTCTTGCCTCTTTAATATATTCAGGTTCTTGAGATAGAAAGCAAAGCGAATATAGTTCCATCTGGGATACTTTAGAGGTAACTTCAGGTGATTTAAGATCCCATCAAATTCTAGACATTTTTCCACATTTTCTTTCTAATTAAAGTAAAACATCATGAGGAGGGTGAAATGAGGAAAAGAATGAGGAAAAATGAAGCTGTGGGAAGTGAGAAACAGATCCAGAAGTTTGAGAGGTAAGATAAGAGTGAGAAAAAGAAACAGGAATAAGCTACTCTCAAGAAGTGGGGGAAATACAGACAATAGAGAGCAAAGGAAAATAAGGGTCTTTAAAAAGCACAGATTCATGTATAGTCAGAACTGGAATATGAGGAATAGGAATTTGAGCACAGTGGAGGCTGGTCAAGTGACTCAGTGTCAAAAGACAGTAACACATCACAGTAACTTGGTCACTGAGAATCCATGGGGCAAGCTGGTCTACGAGGGTAGAAGGAGCTGTTGTGACCATCTCAGCTCACCACCTTTTTTTTCCCCTATGCAGTTCTGAAGCAGCTGGAAGAACTGCTGAGTGACATGAAAGCGGATGTGACTCGACTGCCAGCTACCATTGCCCGAATTCCCCCAGTTGCTGTGAGGTTACAGATGTCAGAGCGTAACATTCTCAGCCGCCTGGCAAACCGGGCACCTGAACCTACCCCACAGCAGGTAGGATGATTTCTTCTTTGTGCCAGCTCTTCCCACAGAACCACTGTGGAACTTGTAGCTTTGCCCTAGCTTTACATACTGGGCTTGGGGTGGGGTAGATTCCTGTGGTCTGGAATTCTGACTTTCTTGGCTCTCTTTCTCAATAGGTAGCCCAGCAACAGTGAAGATCCAGGTTGATGATACCACCTCCACCGCTGAGCAGTGACCTTCCTCACTTTCTCTTGTCCCAGCTTCTCCCCTGGGGGCCTGAGAGACCCTCACCTTCCTTCTGCCCATCTTCCATGTTGTAAAGGAACAGCCCCCATGCACTGGGGGAGGGGAGGGGGTGAGGGGCAGTGGTGCCCTTCCTGCTGGAGAGACATGCAGCAGTAGCGCCGGCGCCACCTGCAGGGAGCTGGCGGGCTGGCCTTCTGGACCTGGCTTCTTCCCACAGTAACGTCTGTTACACACAAACTCTTGTGGGTTCCTGCCAGGCTTGAAGAAAATGATCTGAATTTCTTCCTCCTTTTGGTTTTATTTTGTTGGTTTATTTTGTCTTTTCTTTTCTCCTTTTTGGGGGGGGTATTCAGAGTGGGCTGGGCCCCTGGGCGAGACACAGCTACCTCTGTTGGCATCTTTTTAATACCAGGAACCCAGCGGCTCCAGCCACTGAGCGGCTAGAACGAAATAAAGTGGAAAAAAAAAAAAGGAAAAAGAACCAAAAGCATAAAAAGCCACAGCAAATTTCTTGATGAAAACTGAAAATAAAAGTTTCCTTGTATTTTAGTGCTCTGGTTCAGTGTGGGTGTAGGTGCAGGTGCATGAGTGTGTAGGGCAGGAGCCTGTGTCCTGTGTAATTGGAAACTAAGGCTACCTCACGTCCTGATAGACCACTGAAGAGTTGTGTTCTGTGTGCACGTGCCCATTGTGCACCCGACCAAGGATGACCACCCCCTGTGGAAAATGAGAGGCTGCAAAACTGCCTGTTTCGCCCCTTAATGGTTCTGTGCAAGTTAACTTTTCTGGACTGCAGACTTTGCACGTACAAAATAAGACATCTATCTCATAGGGATGTGAAGATAAACCACTAAAGTGCTTAGAACAGTTTTTTACACCTATTAGACGCTAGCTTAGTATTAATTTGAAGGAAGGCTGGGTAGGTTTTTCTTGCTAAATTGTGCCAAACTGGGATGCAAGATGTCTCTCTCCTGACCTCTAAATGTGAACTTAGGTGTGAACTTAGGCAGAGGGGAACCTTAACTGGCTGAGCAGGAGTGTGGCGTCAACAGGGTAGAGACTTTCCAATTCAAAGGGTTGGTAGTAGGAGGTAAGTGGTGTGGTGTTCCATGATCTTTTTTTTTTTTTTTTTGAGACAAGAGTCTCACTGTCACCTGGGCTAGAGTGCTGTGGGGTCAGCCTAGCTCACAGCAACCTCAAACTCCTGGGCTCAAGCAATCCTCCTGCCTCAGCCTCCCAAATAGCTGGCACGCACCACCATGCCCAGCTAATTTTTTCTATATTTGTTTTTAGTTGGCCAATTAATTTCTATTTTTAGTAGAGATGGGGTCTCTCGCTCTTGTTCAGGGTGTTTTCGAACTGCTGACCTTGAGCGGTCCCGTCTGCCCTGGCCTCCCAGAGTAGTAGGATTACAGGCGTGAGCCACTGCGCCGGGCGGAGTTCCAAGATCTGGAGGCTGCACCTAGGGCGGCGGATGCCAGGGGCCCCGCTGTCGTGCCCTGGTTGGCGGGGAGGGTCCGGCTTCTAGGCACCAGCTTTTCCGACTGAAACCGGCCGTCAGGCAAAAAGCCAATTCCCTGAGAAAAGGGCGGTCAAGCCGAGAATGCTTGCGTTCCCACTTCTCCCTCCACCCCAGGTGGTCACCCGCTGCTCGCTCAGCGCGCGTTCCCAAGGCGACCGTAAGTTCCGGGTGCTGCGACCGACTGGTCGCAACCGGAAGAGGCGGGGCCATGAGGCGGAAGCGCTCTGTGCGCCTGCGTGGAGCGTTTCCGGGAAGTGTGGCCTCCGAGTGCTAAGCCCGGAGTGCACGTGGAGTGCTGCGCGTCATACGGAGGGCCTCTCTCTGGCTTGAACCCGCTTTCGGGTGAGTCTGGAGGAAGTCAGGGAACGAAGGGTGGCAGCGCTGACCCGGTCTGGGACGCAGGGAGAGGGGCGTGGTACCTGGGTCTCAGGGCGGGAGGGCGGCTTGGTCTGGCCTCCAGAGCGGTGTCGGGGTGCTGAGACGAGGCCGTGCCCCTCCCCACTCTACGCTAAGTCTGCGTTCTGCCGCTGTTTTCCAACATGCACTTCTCCCGTTTTTCTTTTTCCCAGTACCATGGGGCGCAAGTTGGACCCTACAAAGAAGGAGAAGCGCGGTCCCGGCCGGAAGGCTCGGAAACAGAAGGGTGCTGAGACAGAACTCACCAGATTCCTGCCTGCAGGTAAGGGTCAGTTTTGGTCCTCTGATCCCCTAGCTCTTGCGCCATTCTGTATCATAACCCTTTCCCTGCTTTAGTCTTTGTTCATTTTTTGTTTAAGTGGAATCTTCTTTGTGAGTTAAAAGGAAGCAAGTGTGAATGAAACACTCCTTGTCATCAGCGTTTAGAATTTAGGGAAGATGCGACAGGACAAATACCCATGCAAGGAGAGGCATGGTTTAACATTGAGAGTTAAGAGGAAAAGGGATCCCGTGCATAACTTTAAAAGTTTATCATAAGCTGGGTTTTGGGTTTTATCTTAAGTTAGGTAAGGAAGTTGGGCAGGGAACAAGACAGTCACTGAACTGCCTTTTGGAGAGATGGAAATGGGAAAGCTCAGGTCTGGCTCTCACATGGTGAGTAGTCTTCATGGAAGACTGGTGGGAGATGACACTGGACAGGGAATGAGTGTTGGTGTTGTGTAAAAGATGCAGTTTGTTGAGATATTAGCAGGTTCTAGACAGTATACTGAACTTCTTGGTCGTGTATCACTTCATTTTAGAGTTCTGTAGAGGAAGCACTGTTAAGGAAGCATATGCTGAGTGGTGAAGTTAACTCGAGTACAATTGTTAAATGGCAGGGCTGAGATTTAAACCTACTCCTTTTGATTAGTGTACTAATTCTCTTTTATTTCCACTCCCGTTTCTCTTTCTTTTTTCTCCATGACCTATTCTGCCTCTTTTTTTCTACTATGGTAGGTGATGAAAATTCTAAGAGGCTGTCTAGTCGTGCTCGAAAAAGGTAAGTGTGGGTGTCAGATTAAATTGGTACTGCTCATCGTTAGCCACATGGTTGATGGAGAGGGCTAATTGTGGACTCATGTTTACAATGAGTGGAAATGGCAGAGCCTGGAGTTATGTTCCTATTCCCTTATTATATTTTTTCAGAGCAGCCAAGAGGAGGTTGGGCTCTACTGAAGCCCCTAAGAGATATAAGTCTCATGGGACCAAACTTTTGGCTGGAAAGCTACCAAAAGGTCAGTGCAAATAGGAGCTGTGTACTATGTAAGGAGTCCTGTAGGTCCTGGATGGGGAAGAAGTTGCTAAGCACTTTTGGAATGAAAGGAACATCCAAAAAGGCTATTCGGAGTGGTAGAATTATAGGATTCAGGCCGAGCGTGGTGGCTCACACCTGTAGTCAATCCTAGCACTCTGGGAGGCTGAGATGGGAGGATCGCTCGAGGTCAGGAGTTCCAAACCAACCTGAGCAAGAGTGAGATCCCGTCTCTACTATAAATAGAAAGAAATTAATTGGCCAACTAAAAATATATATAGAAAAAATTACCCACGATGGTGGCCACTGCCTGTAGTCCCAGTTACTTGGGAGGCTGAGGTAGAAGGATCACTTGAGCCTAGGAGTTGGAGGTTGCTGTGAGCTAGGCTGATACCCACGGCACCTCCTAGTCTGGGCCAACAGAGTGAGACGTCTCAAAAAAACAAAAATACAGGATTCAAGGGTGTGGCGTAGGGGATGTTGCTGCATTGAAGAAACCTGTATCCTGCCATTTGAAGAAACCTGTGTCCAGGTTTCTTCAGAATCCTTAGGGATCTCTACAGGAGCTGTCCAGACAGCTGGTGAGAAGGGAGCCCAGTCCTTATTTAATGCTGCTCGGGAAAGAGCAGCGCCCAGCACCAACCCATGCAGTGATCAGGAAGAGGAGGAGGAAGACTCTGAAGAAAGATGGTGTGGTCAACCAGGGGGACCTCTGGCGGCCTCTGTAGGAGCAGTGATGCAGCTGATATGGTAGCATGACTATGGAGCTGACTCTGATCTCCCGATGAGGATGAAGAGGTGAGATTGACCTCTCTAGGGTATTCAGAAAGGATCTAGATTCTTGAGACTATATCCTTGGTCGACAAGGTGTACACCTAACAAGAGAAACGGATTTTGCTCCATCTACCTGCCTGACATTATCTCTTAACACACTTGCAAATTTTGGAAAAGAGCTATAGGGCATAGAGCATTTTTTTTTTTTTTTTGAGACAGAGTCTCACTTTGCTGCAGGCTAGAGTGGGAGTGCGCCGTGGCATCAGCGTAGGTCACAGCAGCACCTCAAACTCCCTGGGCTCAAGTGATCCTCCTGCCTAAGCTCCCGGAGTAGCTGGGGACTACAGGCATTGCACCACCATTCCCGGCTAATTTTTTCAGTGTATATTAGCAACAAAACTTGGCCCAATTAAATTTCTATTAAAATAGAGACCGAGAACAACAAGACTCTAGCTCAGGCTTGTCGAACTACACTGACTTTGGCACAAACAAAACACACAAAACATCAAAAACCAGAGCGCTAGTTCATAGGCGGAGCCACCACGCCCGCACATAGAGCATTTTTAAAGCTAGATCTCCGCTGACTGGTGCACGGCCTGTGGAAAAAGCAGACCACTTGTTGCTTCACCCTGGACAGACGACAAACATACTTATTTTTTAACACATAAAACAAATAACAAAACAAAAAATCTTAGTTTTGATCTAGTAACTCTCGTTTAGGAAGATGACCACAAAGTAGCAAAGATTTATTACTAACAGGTAAGACGTTATTCATACACAATTAGTATGAGGTTAATACTGCAGAAAAATTACAATAATATAGAATGCTATAGAATAAAAAGAGTCACGTTCATTTGCCCCCTTTCCCAAACATCCCACCCACCTACACAGATATCCCAGATTGGCAGGCACCATGTGAATCATTTTGCCCAAACTCTGAAACTTTGGAAAGTGCCATATGCTTCATGCAAATGTCGTTCATGTATATGGTGAATAACATTGATATTATATTCATACACTATGACTAACTGTAATATTTCACAGTAAACAAGTTGAGGTCCAAAAACATGAGACATAATATACCAGCCTTAAAGAAAGCTAGCGATCTACCTTTGACCCAGGTTCAAGGTATAGTGAAGCTGTTGACTTGTGGCACTGCACTCCAGCCTGGACAACAGAGCTGAGACCAATATCTCTCTGAAAAAAATAAGCAGTTGAAAACACGGTAATTTGAACTAAGTGAAAAATCCGAGAATGAATACAGAGTAATGAGAAGTCTTACTAGTTATCAACAATGACACATGGCCAGTCTATATATTCATTAATCTTCAGACTTCCTTTTTCCTTCTGAGAGCAGTTTTTTTTCGCTAAACCAAAAAACCCGCTCTCAGAAGGAAAAAAGAAGCTGAAGAAATGAATATAGACTGGCCAATGTGATCATTGTTGAAACTAAGCTAAGAATTACTAACCTGAATTACTTGGAATTTTTCACATAGTTCAAATTAACAGTGTGTACTTTTCAACTGCTTTATATTTTTCTCAGACGAGAATGGTTCACTCCTGCTGTCCAGACTGGGATGGCGTCACAATCACACTCACTATAAACCTTGAACCCTGGGCTCAAGACATCGCTCACACTTAGCTTTCTAAGTACGCGGGCCATTACCAGGTCCACCACCTCCCAACTTTTGTTAACTTGTTTTTTAAAATCTCCACAGTTAGATCATATATTTCCATAATCATAAGTCATTTAACTCACATATCATGAAAACACCCCATCGCCCTGAGCACTGGACACATTCACAAAATTCCAGCAGTTCATAAAAGCAAATCATCACACATACAACACAAAACAACCAAATAAAACTTGTAGGATGGAGGTGGGGATGTGGGAAAAGGGTGCAATGGGGACTCTTTATCTATACAGTTCTTATATTATTTGAATTTTTCGCGCAATATACCCTCCATACTATTTGGTAAGATAAATAACCGTCTTACTCTTCAGTAATATAAATCTTTGCCTACACTTGGGTCATCTCCTAAACAGAGAATTACTAGATCAAACTAAACTTTTTAACGTTTTCAGATACATAAGCTTGTTT